CAGAAGCAGCTGTGTGCTCCTGGAATTCTAGAATTGTAAATGATTGGGGTCCGGAGACATGGCTGTAGCAAGCTAATCCATTCCAAGATTCATTGCTGAGTCTCTGGATCAAGGCTGGTGACATGCTTAAATGGCACCCAGAGGCAATTCGTGACAGCCAAGACCCTAAAGGGGTGGGGAGGTGGGAGGGGACAGCCCATCCCTGCTGCAGCCATGTGGCCTGGACTTTTCAGTCCCTGGTCCTGTATACCTGGGGTTTCTTCTGGAAAAGTTAATTAACTTTAATTTTGAGCTGTTTTAAAATCCAAATAATTGCCATGCATGTGTGAATGCCTGTATTTGACGTCTGGCGTACCATCATCTTTCTCCCCTCCGTCACATCCAAATAATTATTTTTGCCACAATAAACATTTACATTTGTTTTCTTATTTTAACTGAGATACAGTTACAAGCTTTCATGCTTGGGTTTCAATCATACAATGATCAAATATCCATCCCTCCACCAGTGCACATTCCCCACCACCAATATCCCCAGTATACCCTCTCTTCTTAGCTCTTCCCCTGCCTCCATGGCAGACAGTTTCCCCCATACGCTCTCTACTTTGGGGCATTGTGGTCTGCAGTACAGATACTGAGAGGCCATCACGTTTGGTCCTTTATCTGCTCTCAGCACACATCTCCCATCCCGAACGATTCCTCCAACCGTCATTGTCTTAGCGATCCCTTCTCTATTACAGTTGCCTTCACCCCCAGCTCATGAGACAGGCTTCCAACTATGGGGCAATATTCCTCGTCTTTGTGTCTACTGTCCTTGGATGTCAGTCTCATATTATGTTATTTTATATTCCACAAATGAGTGGAGGCCTTCTATGTCTGTTTCTCTCTTGCTGACTCATTTCACTTAGCGTGATCCTCTCCATGTCCATCCACTTATAAGCAAATTTTATGACTTCATCTCTCTTAACAGCTGCATAGTATTCCATTGTGTAGATATACCAAAGTTTCTTTAACCAGTCGTCTGTTCTCAGGCATTCAGGCTATTTCCAGATTCTGGCTATTGTGAACAGTGCTGCAATGAACATAGAGGTGCAGATGTCATTTCTACTGTACTTTTTTGCACTCTTGGGATGTATTCCCAGAAGAGGTATTGCGGGGTCATATGGAAGCTCACTTTCTAGTTTTTGAAGGAATATCCATATTGTTTTTCAGAAATGCTGGAACAGTCCGCATTTCCACCAAACAGTTGTCACAATAAACTTAAACTTATTTTAAAGATGTATTTTCAGAACTGGGAAGATGGCCTTAAGTGCTAGAACACAGGTTTTGTGTGCAAGAGTCCTGGGTTTCATCTTCAGCAGCACATGGTCCCCTAAACAAAAAATCAGGAATAGTCCAGAGCCCTGCTGGTGCTGACTCAGAAACCGAAAACCAAAAATAAAAAAGATGTTCTCTCTGTTCCTTCTTGTCTACTCATTTTCATGTATCTACAAGGTAAAGATGGGAAACGTCTTTTTATTTCATGGAACTTATTCTAGAAAGATGTGGTCTATGTTACTAGAGCTGTGTTGCTTTTTGAGGTTATGCTTGTTTTGCACTTATTGAAGTTATCTTAGTTATACCCAACTGTTAAAATAATGAAGTGTTCCAGTTCCACCTGGGCCAAGTTACCTCATCTTCGTAATCCCAGTTTCTTTAGTTGAATATGGGGTTCAGTGGTTTCTACCCATGACGTATTCGATATGCCAAACACAGTAACAACAAATCTCACAATGGAGATGTTACTGGGCCCGCTAGTGCAAATCGAGCTGAGCATTGTGTAGAAGCTCCAGTTCCTAACAGCAGAGGGTGCACTGCCCCTAGTAACTGGGCTTCGGGTTTCGAAAATGCTTTTTCTACAGCAGAAGTTGATGTTCCTGTTTTTAGCTCTTTACAGAACACTGAACAAACACATAAAACCCCTCAGAAAATTTTGACACTAAGAAACTTCTTTATAGTTCTGTGAAGGGCTCAGCAACTTCTTTTACCTTACTTACCCCAAGTACTCATGCTAAATCCCAAGAATATAATTTCACACCTCTATGTGTATGGAATATTTCCTGTCCCCACCACCACAATTCCAGTGCTTTCACATTATCAGAGTGAGCCCTCCTGTTCACTCTTTCTAATCTCCGTTTCCTCTTTCCTCTGGTAATTCAAATATATTTAAATTTTATTTTTATTAAGACACTGATTTACAAGGTTATTCATAACAGTTATAAGAGACTTTATAACAGGCGTACAATGTTCTAGCGGCACTACTATCACCAGTGTCCCCAAGTACCCTTTCACTGCCTAGCTTTCCCTTTTGGCAGGCAGATAACAAATTCATTTTATATTGCTTGATCTAACAAAATTTAAAAAAAATGGAAAATGGCATTATCAGAAAATAAGTCAATTAAAATCAATTTAACCTTTGTAAAGAAATTAAAATCATTTATTATGGTATAATACTTATTCTTATATAAATAAGTTTTCAACCCTGGCATTTAAAATACTGTCACCGTAACTGTCTCTGTCCTCCCGTTGTTCATTGATTTGCTCGAGCGGGCCCAGTAACATCTCCATTGTGAGACTTGTTGTTACTGTGTTTGGCATATCGAATACGTCACGGGTAGCTTGCCAGGCTTTGCCGTACGGGCACGATACTCTTGGTAGCTTGCCGGGCTCTCTAAGAGGGGTGGAGGAATCGAACCCGGCTCGGCTGGGCTGGCCGCATGTAAGGCAAACGCCCTACCCGCTGTGCTATCGCTCCGGCCCCCTAAAGAATCTCTTTTAAAGTTTCTTATAAACTGTTTTCAAGGTTATGAATTCCCTAAGCTTTTACTCACTCCTGAATCTTTGTATTATTCCTTCATATCTGAATGATAATGTAATTGGATAGAGTATTCCTGGTGAGGTCTTCATTTCACTGAATTTATGTGCTATATCTCTCCATTTTCTCGTGACTCTAGTGTCTCATTTTATAGATCTGTTGTGACTCTTATTGGCTTTCCTTTGTATGTAAGCTCCGTTTTGATCTTGGCTTTCAGTATTCTGTCTCTATCTTTGAACTTTGTTATTTTGAGTACAAGTGTCTTGGCGTTTCCTTCATTTCTTCTATTTTCGCTGGGACCTTTTGGGTCTCTTGGATCTCAGAGCTGGTAATCCTCAACTCTGGGAAGTTCTATCAATGATTTCTTTAACAATTGTTTCTTCGTTACTTTTGACTTCCTGTTCTTAAGGGACTCCTGTGAATCTTATATTGTTCCTCTTGAACTCTTCCCATAGTTTTCTGGTATGGAAGTTCATTTCTTTTCAGACTCATTTTCTGTTCTTTTCATTTCCTCCCTCTCATCTTGGAACGCCTTGTTCTTTTGCTCAGCTGCACCAAATCTGCTATTTAGTGCTTCGAATGAGTTATTTTTTTTAATATCATCTACCATATTCTTCATTTCTTTTTGTTTTTTCATTTCAGCACTCATGTGCTTTGCTGCATATGCCTTGGATTCTTTGAGCTCATTAAACATCCTTACTTCAGTAGTATTACTGAAGTCACATTCTGATGATTACCGAGCTGCTTGGTGTTCTTTGGGCCGTCTGTGTTATTGTTTTTGCTAATTGAACTTAATTGGACTTGGTGGGCTTTTACATGTTTTCCCCATTAGTTTTCTGGTGTCTTTGCAGGCACCTAATTAAGTTGGGGCTTGCTCTTCTCCTTCTTTGCCAGTCTTAACTGAATTACAGGAAATATAACTGTGTCCAGAGTGATTTGTTGAGTAGGTCTGTGTGTTTCAGGAGTTGTGGTGTGGGCCCATTATTGTGGTGCAGGTCAGGTGTGGAGACTTAAGGACTGAGCTAAAAGGACAGGGTTCTGCGTCTTGTCCTGAGTAGACCAAGTGATGTCAGCCGGAGGTTACACATGGAATTGTGGAGCTGCGAACAGAAGTTCAGGAGCTGTAGTGTGGGCCGTTTAATATGAAGCAGGTCGGGGCGGAGGCTGCTGGGAGAGCCAGAAGGGAGGTAATGCAAATATTTTTCACAGAACTATTTGGTAGCGGCTTCCTTTGATTCATTTTCCTCCCCATGATTATCTCAGGTTCTGGTAATGCCACATGACAAGCATAATTTGATCTTGATTTTTTTCACATAGCTGTGTAGTAGCTATTGTGTATGTATTCTCCAACGTCTTTATCCAGTCATCCTTTTGATGGGCATGTTGGTTGATTCCAATTTGGGGCTGTTATGGATAATTTGCATTGTTTGTTTTTGAGGCCATATTCAATTGTGCTCAGGGACTACTACTGACTCTGTGTTCAGGGATCACTCCTGACAGTGCTTGGGGGAGCATATTTGGTGCCTGGGATCGAACCAGGGTGTGCCACTTGCAAGGCAAGTGCCTACTTGCTGTACTAACTTCCCAACAATAATTTCCATTTATTTAAAAAATATCTATATCTGTATATGTATATGTATATCTATATCTATATATTTTTTAAATAATGGGTTCATGGGCCCGAGTACAGCACCACCAGGAGTGATCCCTGAGTGCAGAGCCAGTAGTAAGCCCTGTGGACATCCAGGTATGGCCCAAAATAAACCAAAAAACTGGGTTCATTTATCTATTTTCAATTTTTTAACATTATGGTATCTTTAAATACTTGGTTTCATTTATCGTACAGTGAAAACTAATAGTATTTCCTTATCTCACAATTAAAAATAAAAAGGTAAAGGTAAAGGCCCTCCCGTTGATCGTCGATTTGCTCGAGCGGGCCCAGTAACGTCTCCATTGGAGACTTTGTTGTTACTGTGTCTGGCATATCGAATACTCTCGGTAGCTTGCCGGGCTCTTCGATTAAAAATAGTTTCAGAATAAAAATTTTGTGATTATAGTATTTGTACATTTTAATGAAAGAGTAAATTTAATTATTCGTTAATCTCATTTTAGTTGCTTTTCTTTGAAATATGTTTTCTTTTTACCATAGGTTGATCATTTTGGATTTCATACTGATAAAACTTTTAAACAGAGATACCTAGTTGCTGATAAATACTGGAAGAAAGATGGGGGATCAGTACTATTCTACACTGGAAATGAAGGGGACATTATCTGGTTTTGCAATAATACGGTAAGTTCAGATTTATGAAATTTCGGTGCCAATTTTGCCTTTTTTCATAATAAACTGGGAGAAATGTTTTGAATTACATGTGATCGAATATTGTGAATTTCTTTAAAAAGTGGGGTCAGGGAGTTACTTCAGTGGTCATGACAATGTGCTTTGCACATGCGAGTTCTGTCTTTTGATCTCCGGCACCACAGGGTCCTTAATGTACCTCCAAGTATAGCCCTGGAGGCCCCGAGGCAGTACTGATTATAGCCCTGATGACTTCAGAACCTTTGGCCCTGAGCACAAGCACACCCTTAACCCACAACTAAACCATAGGCCTGCCAGATTGCGGGCTGAGTATCATCAAGAATGTTCTGAGACCCCCCAGAATTTTGGGAGACCCTCATCCCGCAATTTTAAATAGCAAAAAGATAAATTTAATAAGAAAAGGTCGAAGTAAATTAATAGCAGTTCACAGAGGAATAAATGCAGATATTCAGTAAACCTGCAAGTTCAGACTTGAAGAATTACACATGGATGAAATACTATTTTTGTATCTTTTTTTGTTTCTTTGTTTTTTTGATCATGATCACTGTAAGGCTGGAGCGATAGCGGATCTTCCCAACACCCTTTATTTGTTGTTCCCCTTCTCTATCTGAGCTGCCTTTACCCCTAGAGTGTGCGGCTGGCCTCCAAGCCGTGGAGTAAACCTCCAAGGTGAATTATCTTAAAGTAGGTCTGAACTATATTTTTTCTGGTGTCAATTTACGGCATAGCACCTGATATTCAGGAAATGTTAGTAAATATTTGTTGATCACAACTGAATTGTAAACAAAGATAGGAACCCATTTATATTGGAGCCGGAGCGATAGCATAGCGAGTAGAGCATTTGCCTTGCATGCAGATGACCCGAGCTCGATTCCTCCGCCCCCCTTGCAGAGCCCAGCAGGCTACCGAGAGTATCCCACCCACACAGCAAAGCCTGGCAAGCTCCCCGTGGTGTATTTGATATGCCGAAAACAATAACAGCAAGTCTCGCAATAGATATGTTACTGATGCCCACTTGAGCAAATCGATGAACGACGGGAGGACAGTGCTACCGTGCTATTATGGTCCAGATTTCTGATTATATTAGGAATATTAAAAATCTTTTTGTTCCCATTTTTAAACTAAAGAAATGTGACTTACAAAGTTACGGACACTTGAATTTTATGCCTATGATATTTAAACACCAATCCTACTCCCTTCTACCAGTGTTCCCATGTTGATTCCACACCTCACCCCCGACCCCATCTTCTCCTGTCAACTTGACAGACATATTTCAGTCTCAGTGGTTGCAGCTTAGAACGCACATTTTCAGTTTTGTTGAGTTTTGTGGAGTTTTTGGTTTTTGGTAATGCTTGTGCCATTCATTTATACCACCAGTATAAAATGAAGCACTCAGGCCATTATTTCCAAATTTCTTCTTCTCCCCTTTATTTCTTTCTTTTTCTGTTCTTCTCCTCTCTAAACACTGTGGTCAAACCAACCTAGGCATCCCCCATTTACTACTTTGTCTTCTCAGGTATTTTATATATAACCACAGATAAGTTAGGTCGTACAGTGTTTTGTCTTTCTGTGAGAGTTCCTTTTTCACCACACAAGTCTCACAATGGAAATGTTACTGGTGCCTGCTCGAGCAAATCGATGAACAGCGGGAGGACATTGTGGTGCTACAGTGCTATTTTTGATTCGTGTCATTCTCATTGGCGTGAGATGCTATTGTCAGCTTGATTTGGATTTCTCTGACGATAAGTGATGCTGAGCATTTCTTTCATGTCTCCACTGAGTCTTTGCTCGTCTTCTTCTGAGAAGTGTGGATCCATTTCCTTTCCCTCTTTTTGGATTGGGTTTTTGGAATTTTTGTTGTTGCCGTTGTTGATCATTGTGAGTACTTGATATATCTTGGATATCAAACCTTTACCTGATGTATTAATGCGATTTTTTTTGCCTTGTAGAAGCTCTTTAATTTTATGTAGTCCCATTTGTTTATTTTTTATTGTGTTGCCTTTGCCAGTAGTATCAGATCATTGAAGACAACTTGAGGTCCAGATTTTTAAATGTTCTGCCTATATTTTCCTCAGTGTACTTTATCGTTTCTATTTGGATCTTCAAGGTCTTTGATCCAAGGTGTAAGATACTGATCCAGCTTTAGTTTCTTATACGTAGCTATCCAGTTTTCCCAGCACCGTTTGCTGAAGAGGCTATTTTTTTTTTAATAATTAGAGTATTTTATTTCATTTCTTTCTTTTCTTTTCATTTAATTAATTAACTTAATCACTTAACTTCCCGTTAGTCGTCGATTTGCTCGAGCGGGCGCCAGCAACGTCTCCATTTGTCCCTGTCGCGTGCTAGCGTAACCCAATGGCATCTGTTCGCTCTGGGAACATGAAGATCATGATCATCAAACCGATCGTTGATGATCTTGACGAAGAAGTCTGACCATCTGGTAGGTGGGCGGCCACGCGGTCTTTTGACATCCCGTGGAATCCAGTCGGTAACAGCTCTAGTCCAGTGGTCGTCTTTAAATCTCATTATGTGACCAGCCCAATTTAATTAATTAATTTATTTTATTGATTCACCATGAGGTACAGTAACAAAGCTTTTTGAGCTTCGATCATACAATCATCAAACACCCATCCCTTCACCAGTGCACGTTTTCCACCACCCAAATCCGCAGTATCTCCCCCGCCCCCCCATTCCACAACTACTACTGCCTGTGTGGCAGAGAGTTTGCACAATACTCTCTTTTTCTACTTTGGTTACCTTTGATATTTTGAGACCAATCACACCACCACCCATACCTGTCAAAAAGGCAATGCTAGACAGTGTGTTTTGTATTGCTTGTTATGGATACAATGTAATGTCGCTTGGCCACAGGAGTGGCCTCATGTTCTGGGAATTCTAAAATTTTAATAATTAAGGTCTGGAGAATTCGCTGCAGCAAATTGCTCAGGTCTGAGATTCATTTGTGTCTCTCTGGATCATAGCCATGGGGGAGCTTAAGTAGACGTTGCTTGTATGTGGGCGCCATCTCAAAGCCCAATCAGGGTCGGGGGGAAGTAGCCATCTCTGCAGCAAGATGCTTGGGTACAAGATTCGTTTGTGCGTCTCTAAAGAGGCTATCTTTATTACATGTTCTCAGCTTCCTTGTTGAGAACTAATTGTCTATATAGATGGGGTTCTGTCATCTAGAGTATTTGATTCTGACCCATTGATAAAGGGGTCTATCTTTGTGCCAGCAGTTTTGATCACTATAATTTTGTAGTACAGTTCCAAATTAGATAATGAAATACCTCCTGACTTCTTATTTTTAAGAGTGACTTTGGCTATGTGTGGTCTTTTCTGATTCAATTCAAACTTTATTACTGTTTTTTCTAGATCCTGGAAGAATGACTTCTAAATTTGAATGGGGATTGCAAATATTATAATATGTACTATTACTATCTAATTAATATCTTAGGTAGGATAGTAATTTTTAATAATATTGATTCTTCCAATCCATGAACAAGGGATATGTTCCATTTCCTAAGGTCCTCTTCTGACTCTTATTTATTTAATTTTTTATTTTTTAAAATTTTTATTAGTGAAACACCATGAGGTACAGTTGTAGACTTACAAATTTTTGTGCTTGGGTTTCAGTTATACAATGATCGAGTACACATCCTCCACCAGTGCCCATTCTCTACCACCAATGATCCCAGTATCCCTCCCACCCTGCCTCTGTGGCAGGGCATTCCCTTTTGTTCTCTCTCTCCTTTTGGGTGCTGAGGTTTGCAAAAGAGGCATTGAGTGGCAATCATGTTTGGTCTATAGTCTACTTTCAGCATGCTTCTCCTATCCTGGGAGGATCCTCCCAATACCCTTTATTTGGTGCTCCCTTCTCTATCTGAGCTGCCTTTCCCCCTAGCATGTGCGGCTGGCCTCCAAGCCATGGAATAAACCTCCTGGTACTTATCTTGGCTATTCTTGGGTGTCAGTCTCCTATTTTGTTACTTTATGTTCCCCAGATGAATGCAATCTTCCCATGTCTGTCCCTCTCTTTCTGACTCATTTCACTTAGCATGATACTTTCCATGTAGTACCACTTGTATGTAAATATCATGACTTCATCTTTTCTAACAGCTACATAGTACTCCATTGTGTAGATATACCAAAGTTTCTTTAACCAGTCATCAGTTCTCGGGCACTCAGGTTTTTTCCAGATTCTGGCTATTATAAACTGTGCTGCAATGAACAAACAAGTGCAGATGTCACTTCGACTATATATATTTTTTGCCTCTCTGGGATATATTTCCAGGAGAGGTATTGCTGGGTCAAATGGGAGCTCAATTTCTAATTTTTTGAGAATCGTCCATACTGTTTTCCAAAAGGGCTGAACCAGTCGGCATTCCCACCAGCATTGAAGGAGGGTCCCTTTCTCGCCACATCCTCGCCAACACCAGTTGGTTTTGTTCTTTTGGACGTGGGCCAGTCTCTGTGGTGTGAGATGATGCCTCATTGTTGTTTTGATCTGCATCTCCCTGATGATTAATGATGTAGAGCATTTTCTCATGTGCCTTTTTGTTCTGACTCTTTTTGTAAGGGATTTAAGGTTATTATGGTGTAGATTTTCATGTCTTTTGTTAAGTTGATTCTAGATACTTGATGTTTTTGGATACTATTTTATGGGATAGACGATAGCACAGCGGTTAGGGCGTTCGCCTTACAAGCGGCCAACATGGCCGACCCGAGTTCGATCCCTCCGCCCCTCTCGGAGAGCCCGGCAAGCTACCGAGAGTATTCGATATGCCAGACACAGTAACAACAAAGTCTCCAATGGAGACGTTACTGGGCCCGCTCGAGCAAATCGACGATCAACGGGAGGGCCTTTACCTTTACCTTTACCTTTTATATAAGAATATGACTAATGTTTGTATTGTATTGACTTTTTAAAGCTGTATATTCCTCTTACACTTTATATAAACACCGTGTTTTACAAAGTTGTTCATAAGGATCTGTTACATTCAGTATTATAACTCTAGTCCCCCTACCAGTCCCGCCACCATTGCATCTTTCTACCACTATTATTTTCAATTTTCCCAACCACCCCTTAAGCTTACCCCCATAGCAGACCATCAATAATTTATTTCATATTGTTTGTAACAAGTCTCACAATGGAGATGTTACTGGGCTCGCTCGAGCAAATCAATGAACGGGAGGACAGTGACAGTGACAGTGTTATAAATAGAATACTAAAAGGAGGATCAAAAAATGTTTCCTTAGAAGAAAGATACAGAAGAAAGTGATACAATTGGAGTTAAATTTTTAACTGGGTGGCCTTCAGATATGTGTGTAACCACAGGGGCTTCCAAAAGTACAGGGAGATATAGGAGGAGTGGGGGAGGCAGCTCATCCCCAACTCTGTAAAACCCTGGAGATTTCAGTCACAAGACTCGCATACCTGAGCTTTTCAACAGATTAATTTCTGGATGAAGCTCGTCCCAAGCAGTGGAGTCTGGCCAGGAACTGTAGAGGTTTTTAGCTGCTGGGGCTCTGTTTGGGTGGTGCTGGACTCACCTGCCCCTCCTCTGAGATGCCTTGGACAACACAGCAGGGGAAGAATCCCTGCAATTTGGTCTCTTTTACGATTTATATGAGTCTCTAGTTCATGGCCATTGAGTCTGTGTATTGACTTTATAGTCGGTCATTTTGCTGTATTTGTTTATTTTTCCTAAGGGCTTTTTGGTGGACTATTCAAGGTCTTCTGTGTATATCATCATGTCGTCTGCAAATAGTGATGGTTTGAATTTTTTCTTTTCCATTTTGGATTCCTTTGATTTGTTTTTCTTGCCTGATTGCGGTAGCCAGACTTCTAATACCATGTTGGAGGGAGTGGACATCCTTGTCTTTTACCTGATATCGGAGGGAATTCCTTCAGTTTTTCACCATTAAGGATGTTGCTATATATAGATTACAGGGTTTTGTATAACTGAGTAAGAATCAGGAGCTTCAGACAACAGTGAGACATAATATTGAGCATTATATTATGTGGAGCACTTGAAAAAAATATAAAACCTTTGAGATACATGCAGGCAAAGGATATCTTATTAGACTGTGAATAATGCTGACAGTGTCACTGTCACTGTCACTGTTCATCAATTTGCTTGAGCTGGCCCAGTAACATTGTGAGACTTGTTGTTTGGCATATACCTCACGGGGAGCTTGCCAGGCATTGCCGTGTGCACAGATACTCTCGGTAGCTTGTCGGGCTCTCCAAGAGGGGTGGAGGAATACGAACTTGGGTCGGCCCTGTCGGCCCCATGCAAGGCAAACACCCTACCCGCTGTGCTATTGCTCTAGCCCCAATGCTGACACATACGTTACTAAATGTTAGTAGATTACATGGACCTACTATGAAAAATAGAAATACCTCGAAAATGGTTGCAGGCAACTAATCACTTGTTACGGTCTTTGTGAATTGGTTTCATTAAATTGCTTCCCTTCAGCCTCAGTTAAACTCCATAGATGTTTTTCTGTACTATTTTCTCATTTACTTATTTGTTTTATATTATAAATTCCTATGAATAGGCGACTAACTTAGATATCCTAAGATCTGCCCTACAGTGTTGGAGTACAGTGCAGTTTGATTAATTTAGACAATATTCTAAGGCTCAGGTGTCAGAATAAGTCAGAGTTTGGAAACTTGTAGCTGGGCACTTTCAGGTTGTTTTTCATTGTTAACTGAATTAGTATGAGATTTATATTTAACAGTGAAATGGTATCATTTATAGCAGTGGCATCATTTATCTGTAGAGCAAATATAGTAGATGGTATCGTTTGTGTGTAGTGCAAATATAGTAAATTGTGCAGTTTCTCGGAGAAATTTTTTTTGGTCTGGTTGAATGCTCATTGCATATTATTTGTAGAAAGGTTTGATGGTTCTTTCACATTCTGACTTTAGACTGTGAGTAAATATTTTTTCTTTCTAGGGGTTCATGTGGGATGTGGCTGAGGAATTGAAAGCTATGTTGGTCTTTGCTGAACATCGATATTACGGAGAGTCCCTACCCTTTGGCCCCTCGTCTTTCAAGGTAACTATGCATTTTACTTTTAAGTTTAAATTTGATATTTTGAAAGTTTAGAACATCTTCTCGGTACATATCCTATAGTAAAAAAGAAATAATAATGAACTTAAAGTCAAAACATTTAATCCTTTTTTTTTTTTGTATACAATTTGAACAAGTTGAAGGTTTTGAACACTTTTTGTTTTGTATTTGGGCCACACCCAGCTATGCTTAGGACTGCTCCTGTCTGTGTGCTCAGTGATCACTGCTGGGGTTGCTTTTGTTCAAGGAATCTTACTGGGGATCGAACGATGGTTGATTGTGTTTGCAAAGCAAGTACCTTACACACTCTACTATTTTTCTGTACCCTGCAAACCGTTTTGCTACATTAACAAATTTTAATTTTTATTAATTATTATTCAATATTAATAAGTTTTCAACTCCCTGTAATGTCTAAAGACTATGGAGGGAACACTGCAAACTGTCACTGATTGTTTTTGTCCCCTGGTAAAATACTCCACCATTCTATGTGTGAACCTCCACTCTGCAGTTCTGGGTTCCTACTTGTGTATGGCCCTGTCTCCCCCAACCCCCAGATATACGCAGCCATAACGAGTCACGCCAGCTGACATTAATCTTTCAAACCTCTCTATCAGGTGTGATGTACTCAATCTGCACTGCAAACTGGCGGTAAAATACACGGTCTTAATTTTACTGCCAGAATACTCCCATAAAAAGCCAGGCAACTTAATGGAAGGAACTAGATTTTCACCTCCCTGTCTGAATTAAATGCCATTAATGTCGTTACATAATAATGGAGATAGTGTGAATAACTGAGGCGGCATAAACATTAGTTCATTAATATAAATAATGAATCAGATCGGGGGTAACCAGAAATCTAAAATTCCACTGTCAGCACCCATAAAATTCCTAAGAACAATGGTGACACAAAGGAATTCAACTACTCTGGCATATACAGGGACAGGTTGAAGGCAAGTCCCTGTTTATAAAAATTCTCAAACTTGCTTATGGAGGACCACAACACAATACTCTCATGCAGTATCACTTGAAATTAAGCAGTCACTGGTAGAGAAAAACCTTAACTCAAAGAAGAATTGATTCAGAATACCAAAGAATCATGTAAATTGAATCTAAGGACCTAAAGAATACAGCAGCAAGCCATAGTAACAGATCTGAAGTGAAGCGTTGTACCTGTGAACATGAAGACATAATACAAGCCAGTGACAATAATGAAGTGGTGAAAGAAAAGAGAAGTAGAATGGGAGAGAAAGTAAGATTCTTAGTAGACAGACAAATCTCCAAAGAGATGCGAAGCCTATGAAACTCCCAGGAACACCAGTCTTTGGGCTGACAGTTCTGGGGCCCTCTTGGGTGTTGAACTGAGTCTTTGCCCTGCTGAAACCCCAGAAGCTGCACCCACACCCAACAGCCTCTGGCATATAGATGGCCCAGCTTCACCGCTTCACAGCTAACCTCAGAAGACACCAAACCAGAGAAACTCTAGACACATTGGTCTTCAAATTCTGGGGCCCTCTCAGAGGGGGAATTGGCCAGATCCCCACCTTGCTAAAGCCCCAGCAGCTGCATCCATACCCCACATTCTTGGGCATATAAACAATCCCAGCTTCAGAGCTTTACGACTTATCTCAAGAGATGCCAACCTATAGAAATGTTCAGTTTTACAGCTCCTGGAGCAGCATTAGCAGTCATGTAACACCTTCAAATTCCACAACACTGACAACCCAGTAGGAGCACAGAAAATTAGATTGGAAAGTAGCATAGAAGCCCACTTATCTCAATAAACAAAAACAAGAACACAGAAGGTTCAACTAGCAGCAAACAGCTCAGTAAATTCTTAGTGACTTTAATACCATCATCGTGAGATATAACAGTTTTCACAAATTTTCTTTTACTCTTTTTTGATAATTCCATTTACAGTTTTGTTGTAAGCAGCATTATAAAATAATTTTGTATCTGTGAAGGGGTCTGGCTTGTGGGGTAGGTGGGAAATGGGGACAGTGGTGGAGGGAAGGTCACACTGGTGGTGGGATTCGTGTTGAAACATTGAATGCCTGAAATAACTGTATTATGAACAACTTTGCAAACATGGTATTTAAATAAAGTTAGAAAAATAAGATAGTTAATCGATAGTAAGAGGAGTAATCTATGAATTTTAATTACTGGAAGGAGAGGATAAAGAGAGAGGGGAAGAATGAATGGTGGGAGAGTTAATAACTTAGAACTTCCCAAGTCTCTGGAGGGAGGCTTCTGCCCAGGTTCAGGAGACTCACAGAATACCAAATAGAATAGAGTCAAATAGAACCAAGACACATTGTAAGAAAAATGGCAAAAACCAGGGAGACAGATTACTTAAGCATCAGGGGAGAAGAGAATCCTCACATACTGGAGAATTGTCCCACTGTAGCACTGTCCTGGATTTGCTTAAGCAGGCCCAGTAACATTGTGAGACTTGTTGCTACTGTGTTTAGCATATCGAATTCGTCTTGTTTAGCATATTGAATTCGGAGCTTGCCAGGCTTTGCTGTGTGGGCAGGATACTCTGGGCAGCTTGCCAGGCTCTCCAAGAGGAGCAGAGGAATTGAACTCGGGTCGGCCGCATGCAAGGCAAACGCCCTACCCGCTGTGCTATCCGTCCAGCCCAAATTCTAGAGAATTAATATAAAAAATCACAATAGATCTCACATATGAAACTGAACAAGCAACATAAGAGTGAAATGATATATTCAAACTATGAATGAAAAATAACTTACAACCTAGATTTTGTTATCCAGCAAAGCTGTCATTTAGGTTTGAGGGAGGGATGAAAACATTCTTAGCAAAATCTTTTGTAACTGAACCAACTCTGCAAGGATTACTAATAAGTCCATATAAAGAAAAAGACAATTTCAAAGAAATTGCAAAAAAAAAAACCTATAAAGAGAAAATTGCAAAACCAACTAAACCCCACACAGAAAAATGGCAACACCACCATTTATATTAATAAACCTCTGAATGTGGTGGACTAAACTCTCCCTTTCAAAGCTGTAGAGTGCTTGGAATTATCCTGATATTTTTATTAGCTATTTAAATTAAAGTTATTCCAGCAAACTAAAAAAACCTGTTGTGAGCATGAATTTGTTCTTCAAACCATGCAGTATCAATTTTATGTGTAATATAAGAATTATATTTAATTCTACCCCGGTTTGACTTCCAGCACTGCAATATGGTCCCCACAGGACCTCCAGGAGTGAGGCTGAGCATAGAACCAGTTGATAGCTTCTGAACACCTTTGAGTGTACCTTACCCCAACCTCCCCCCAAAACATTAACTCACATTGAAATAATCTGCAAAATAACAAAAATCCCACATTTTATATTGCAAATCTAATACGTGCATTCTAGCAGCTACATACTGCATGTGTGCATTTAAACTTTGTTTACGTATTTGTGTTTAGCTCTTAGTGAAAAGTTGTTCTGGGGAAAGAATTTGGTCCTTTGTAATGATTAAAGCCTTGGGTATACTGGAGGTGACTTTTGACAGCAGACATAGCATTAGCAGGGAGTCAGTATGATAGTATGATAGCTTACATTTATTAAACATGTGCTATGTTTAGATACTATTTTATGTATCTCACACATCTAAAATACAGAATTCTGTGAAATGATGTATCCATGCATCCCATTTTTTTGTATGGGGAAGTGAAGGCATAATCCAGTAATTTTTTTCAAGCTCAGATCTAAGCACTGATGGTAGAGAGACCCTTCTAAAACTGTCTAAAATTGTGCTCTGTATGGCACCATCTGATTACCTGTGTGCAGGAGACATAGTGTTGGGACAAGTACATGTGGCTTGAAACTGTGTATTCTGGATTCATGGTACATCTCTGCTCCCTGTAAGAACTGCTGCATACAAGACAGACAGAAAAGTAAAACCTACACATCTCCAGCTAAAAATTTAAAAAATCATTTAATTATATATTCTCTTCTCTTATTTTTTAAGCAAGAGATAGTAGTAGACCCTGAGGTGCTGGGTAGAAATCACTAAATTCAAGCTAGAAAGGGCCGGGTCCATTAATCACCATTTGGAGAACACCCAGATTGAGGGGTCACAGTGATGATACAGTTGACTTCTGTAAACAGGTGCTTATGTGAGAAGTTATTTGTTGCAGAAGTTAGTGCTATCTCAACATATCGGCAGGCCAAATTCCAATAGAGCACTAATCATCTTTCTTTTAAATATATACAGTTAAAAATCATGAAGTAGACCTAGGTACATCAACATGGATCTAACTCCACAAAAAATTTGGTGTTAAAAAATAGTTCTATGGCTCAAGTGGTAGTGTAAATGCCTTAGATGTGTGAGACCTCAGTTTCACCCCCAGCACTGTGCCTAGCCCTGGGAGTAACCGTGGTGGTCTTTGATCACTGATAGGTGAGCCCCCACTACCAATTTAGGAAAAAAGTTCCAAGTGATAATCTTCCAATTAAAGGATAATTGGCAGAGTAAAACAAGCTCTAAATGTTCAGTTTGATGAGTTTGTACGTTTTTATGCTTCTTTGTAATCATCACATTGAACAAGATGGAAAACACTTTCAACATCCCAGAAAATGTCTGTTATCTCTTCCTGGTTGATAATCACTTCCCCCACTAGTGTCAAGCACTATTTTAGTTTCTATCTTTTGTGAGTGTGTGTGTGTGTGTGTGTGTTTAATTATTTAATATTCTTTGACACTGAGAAAATTCTAATTGGATATTATTTCTCCGATTAGACTGGAAACATTGAGGGCACAACTCAGATTAAGAAGGTTAAGGTATTTGTGTTGGGAGAAAAATGTAAGGAGAAATAACAAAATAACTAAAATAAATAATACTTAACACAATATTTAAAACCTGGTGAATAGATGGGCATTGGAGAAAAAGAAAGAAAAACTCAAAGTCAATACAACAAATGATCCATAGTAATATATCAAGATTTTGAAAGATAAGATTAAATGTTTTACTTGTACCATTGAACTTATTTGTTTTGGTCTAATTCAAGCCATCTTAAAGTCTGTGCTTCATGCTCGCACCAAGCCTCATCCACAAATGAACCTTTTCCTGGACAGCCACATGACATTTCATAGGACACATCCTACCCATAGTCCAAGAGTACAGCACTACATTTGATGGGATTCAAAGTAGGATGCAAACAACCTTAGAGGGAAATATTATATTATTTTGGTTCTGCTTTGGGGGAGGGATTGAGGTTCAGCATGGAAACATCTGAAAATACGTTCGTGGGAAGGTGTAATGGTGTGGGATTGGGGTTTGAATATTAAATCTAATCAAATATTGTGAACGACTTTATAAAATTAAAAATTAAAAAAAAAGCTGTAGAGTATGGACGTTTCTCAAAAAATTAGAAGTTGACCCATTTGACCCAGCAGTACCACTTCTGGGATTATATCCTGAGGGTACAAAAAAGCACTTCAGCTTTTGATTTGATTAGACACTTTAACTCAATTGCCTAGAAATTCTGTTTGGAGAAAAACTTAGATCTGACTCTGGCCTTTTTTTTCCCCCTTAATCCTTGGATCAATACAATACCTGAATTGTCATTTTGTCCACATTTATCCTCATTCTTTTTTTTTTTTCTTTTTTAGGATTCTAAACACTTGAATTTTCTGACATCAGAACAAGCTCTGGCTGATTTTGCAGAGTTAATCAAACACTTGAGAAAAACAATAAAAGGAGTTAAAAATCAACCTTTCATTGCCCTAGGGGGCTCATATGGTGGCATGCTTGCAGCCTGGTTCAGGATGAAATATCCCCATATGGTTGTTGGGTAAATACATTTATTTTATACATAAGTACTTCTTATATTTTAGGCAGTCTTAGAGATTTGGTTTGGGTTTGGGATAAAACATTTATATCCTGTTGTTCTAAGATTTGTGGTTTCTATGTCATTAATAGTTTATGCTGTTTTTAAAAAATGTTCTTTCGCTATCACTATCATTTCAATATTTCTCAGTGTTCAAAATTTATCTCACTGTTTCTCCTTTTATAAAATATTAGCTTGAATTTTGGAATTTTAATTTCCTGAGTTACATTTCTCCCCATTCCCCTTCTCTTTCCTTGTTTTTCTTACCATTTAGAGCTCTTGCAGCCTCTGCTCCCATTTGGCAGTTTGAGAATATGGTACCTTGTGGTGTATTTTTGAGTATTGTCACTAAAGATTATAAGAAAAGTGGCTCAAATTGTTCAAGAAGCATTCGTAAGTCCTGGGATGCCATTAACCGACTTGTAAATAAAGGTAAGTTTCAGATAAAATAATGTAAAGTAAAATAAAAAGTAAAGGCCCTCCCATTGATCATCGATTTGCTCGAGCGGGCCCAGTAACGTCTCCATTGGAGACTTTGTTGTTACTGTGTCTGGCATATCGAATACTCTCGGTAGCTTGCCAGGCTCTCCGAGAGGGGCGGAGGAATCGAACTCGGGTCGGCCATGTTGGCTACGTGCAAGGCAAGCATCCTACCACTGTGCTATCGTTCCAGCCATAGCACAGTGGGTAGGGCGTTTGCCTTGCACGCGGCCCACGTGGCGGACCCGATAAAATAATGGAAAAGTGGATTTTTACCTTTTCCTTGTTAAATTCAGTACTTTTTTAGTAAACTTATTTAGTATGACATTCATATTATAACATATATTGAAGCCAAAATACACAGCTTGATGAATAATCACAAGTGAATACATAATGCAATCAGTATCCCAGATAAGAAATCTCATTTTTCCCTTTCTAGAGTACATATGCCTAGCTTGTACTATCCACTAATATGGATAGTATTTTTAATCTATTAATATAGATAATCCTTACCTAATTACTGTTGCCCCATTACCATTCTTTCTTCTAAAACTATATAGAATTTCATAAGTTTGCTTCCTCATGGATTTTTGTAGTTTAGTTTTAGTAAGTGGAATTGCATGTTAGTAAGTGGAATTGTATGTTTAGTAAGTGGAATTGAATTTTTTCTGTGTCTCTTGCTCCGTGCAATTTTAGTTGTGCCTTGTTTTTCAGTTATATCCATTTTTAAAGCTATAGTTTATGTATTCTCGTTGTATTATCCATTTGTTTATTTTTTTTAAATTTCCTATTGCTTGTCTCATTTATTTTAATAATGGTTTTTGTAGGGGGGATAATTCATATTACTAATTCTGGAAAGATCTTCAAGGATAGACAGTATACTTACCAGGGATTATGCAATTGTTTTAAAAATAGTAAATATTGAAAAAATATCCTTAAAGATTGAGTTTTCTCAAATACCAAGCAAAGAATAAATGATCTATAAAGTCTTCTATTGAGTACTTCTTCTTAGATTTCAGCAGTGTCATTCTATTCCCAGGTACTGGCTTGAATTGGCTTTCTGAAACCCTTCATTTGTGCAGCCCATTAGAAGATTCTGATGATGTTGAACGCTTAAAAGATTGGATCTCTGAAACTTGGATCAATCTCGCTATGGCGAACTACCCATATGAGTCAAACTTTTTACAGCCTTTGCCTGCTTGGCCTATCAAGGTAACAGGAAAATGTCCTTTAGTCTCTTTTAGCAGCACACCTCTTGTTTTTCTGTGCTTAGTCTCTGGCCTTCAGAACCAGAGGACGTCCCAGATATCCATGGTCACTAGAGTTTGTCAAACTGGGTTTGAATCTTGCTTTGTGTTATTTTCTGTTTACTTAAACTTGGACATTATAGTTAACTTTTCTAAACCTGTTTTCTCATTTGAAACTGGATATGAATTCATGAATTGCAGTCATAAGACTGATAGTTATTAATACAGTAATTTATCAATTTCTGTGCTGTGCACTTTATATACATGGTTTACTTAATCTTTATGAGATATGTGGGGCACATGGAGTTATGTATGTGTAAGCGTATGATCAGTGCTTAGTAAATGTCATGATAAGGGCTGGAAGGATAGCACAGCGGGTAGGGTGTTTGCCTTGCACACGGCTCACTCAGGTTCGATTCCCAGCATCCCATGTGGTCCCCCGAGCACCGCCAGGAATAATTCCTGAGTGCATGAGCCAGAAGTAACCCCTTGCCAGGTGTGACCCAAAAAGCAAAATAAATAAATAAATGCCATGATAGTTGTAGTGCTATAATTTAGTCGACCGCTAGTACTTTCAAAGTGTGTTGATACTTTCACATCCTAAGTGAATGATCTTCATGCAACAGAGAGGAAAGGAGAGAGCACACACTTGGATCCTAAAGGTGAGGGCTTCACCCAAAACCGTCCTTGTGATCTTGAGCAGGGCAGTCTTTTTCTCCAAATCTCCATGTCGTCTGCAGAAAGGGATAATGATACATATTTAATTGGACTTATTTGCCGAGGATCAAGTGAAAGGCTGGAAATGAAAACAATCTGGAAAATTTAAGGACATATTGCACCTTAAAATTTGACATTCTTTTCAAGACAAAAATATTTCTTTTGATTTTGGGGTCACATCAAGTGGTACTCAGGGGTTACTCCAAGCGCCATGCTTGTGGGTTGTTTCTGGTGATGTTGAGTTGTCCATATGTTCTGGGGATTGGAACTCAGACTTTCTACATAGAAAGCATATATCAGCCCTCAGCTATTTCTCCGGCCCTTCTACTTGCATTCTTTACTGTATATGCTCTTTTATTCCTTTGTAAAGGCCATTCTTAATTTTAAAGGCAGTACAGTTGGTAATTTAGAGAACATACGGACTCTAAAATGAACGCTGGAATTATAAACAGAATTGATAATGTGAGAATCAGACTTAAGAGCATTTTTATTTGTCTATTTGTACAATTAAATGTACACCCGACTTAGTTAAAAATTTTTTTGTTTGTTTTTGGGCCACGTCTTGCTAGTATTCAGGCTTATTCTTGGTCTGCACTCAGGGGTCACTTCTGATGAGGAATAGGGAACCATCTCTCTGGCCCTGTTTAAACTTTGTAACCCAAATTAACTGGTTGTTATTAGTGATTTGTTCCATTTAAAAGTAGAATGACTAAGTATTTTGTTTGCTTTTTTTCTCTTTTTTGGGTCACACCTGGCTATGTACAGGGGTTCCTCCTGGCTCTGCACTCAGGAATTACTCCTGGCAGTGCTCGGGGGACCATATGGGATGCTAGGAATTGAACCCGAGTCGCCAGAGTGCGAGGCAAATGCCCTATCCACTGTGCTATTGCTCCAGCCCCAGAATGATTAAGTGTTTGCTCATAGCAGGCGAGAAGTAAATGAGTATTGATTAAATTTAACTTGACAGGACTGGGTCTGACTCAGTGGAAGAGTGCTGCCTTGCATGTGTAAAACCTGGCACATTTTTTTTTTTTAAGAAGTAAATAGTTTGAATTTTTTGTTTCAAAATCATTTACAGAACAGCTCTCTTTCATGGAAATAATAGCTAGGTCAAAACAATGAGGGAAAAAAACTAAATCTAGGGCTAGGGAGATTGTGAGGGGCAAGGTGCTTGGTTTTGCAAATGACCGATGCTAGTTAAGATTCTTGGCACTTCATATGGTCCCCTGAGCACAGAACCAGGAGTAAGCTCTGAGAACAGCTGGATGTGGCCAACTTTCCTCTTTTCCTTCCAAAACAACACAGCAAATCTAAATCTAAATCTATTATTCTATCAGTGTTCAATTCCCAGTATCCCGTATCGTCCTTCAAGCACTATCAGGAGAAATTCTTGAGTGCATGAGCCAGGAGTAACCCCTGTACATTGCCGGACGTGGCCAAAAAAGAAGAAAAAAGTCTACATTAATATCTTATCCATAAATACTAGTAGTTTACCATTTATTAAAGCGCTTCATATAGTCTATCTCATTCAGTCCTCAAGAGATACTGTGTAGGAAAGATATAACTCCACTCTTATTGAGAAGAAGACATTTAAACGCAACTAAGCGGTGGTGGAAGCGGGATTTAAATTAGGTCCTGCCATTGTTCAGACTCTGATCATTTATATCACAGAGTATTAGTAGGAAACTAAGTTTGGGTGACTAGTTAGCCATGGTGTGATAAGTACCAGTTTAATTCTGTATTCTGTATATGAAATGAGAGTTACATTTGCCCTCTTAGAGAACAAAAGAGTTGTGAGATGATAAAAACATATGGGGGATTATCTTGTATTTTATAATGGTTGGCAGACTTTATCTTTAGATGACCTTTTAGATTTTTGGGCCATCTGGTTTCAGCCATATATTACTCAAATATTACTCCTTTCAGATATATATCTGTAAGGAGAAAGTAGCCATAAACAATAGATGAACGAGGATGACTGTGTTTTAGCAATACTTAATTTATAAAGCAGAGAGCTGATTGGATTGGCCTAGGGCTACAATTTGCTGACCCAGGTTTTGGATACTACATTCAGAAGTTTCAGAAATGAAGACTGTGGTTGGTCAAAGTTAGACAACAGAAGCTCTGAGCAGCCGAATAGTAGCTGCTGAGGAAAAGATCAAGGAGCTAAAAGATTAAATGGAGAAAAACTAGAAACAACATACGATGAAAAGAAGTCTGAAAAGAAATAAATAGCACACCAGAAAACTGGGGAATGAGTTCAAAAGGAACAATTTAAGAATCCCCAGAGTCCCAGAAGAACAGGAAGAATAATTCTATGAAGAACCAATAGTTAAAAACTTGATAGATAAGACTTTCTTCCTCCTCAGCATTGAGGAATGCAGGCAGGCACCCAGATCCAGAATGCTCAAATGGTTCCAGTAAAAAGTAGACTCAAATAGGAAAAACTCCAAGACATTGTACTCAGAATGACAAAAGCCAGAGAGACAATATTGAAAGCATCAAGATAAAAAAAAAAGGAACTTCTAAACAACGAAAAGCCCTAAAGAGCCACAGCAGATCTTTAAATGAGGCTCTCCAAGTCAGATGGGAATGGAAGGATATTGTACAAAGACTCCACGAAATAAACACTTCACCAAGAATACGCTATTCAGCTGAATTATCATTCAGGTTTATAACTATAGAGAGCTTCATGCACAGGAAACAGTTTAGGAAATTCATTGTCTTGAAACCAGTTTTATAGGAAGCATTAAAAAACTTTCAGTGGCTGAAGTGATAGTACAGCAGGTAGACCTTTTGCCTTCTACACTGTGAACCCAGGTTTAATCCTCGGTATCCCATATGGTCCTCCGAGCACTGCCAGGAGAAATTCCTGAGTGCATAGCCAGCAGTGATTCCTGAGTGCTCACCCCTGAGCACTGTCGGGTGAGACCCTAAATGCCAAAAAAAAAAAAAACCCAAAAAACTTCTTTAAAAGACAAACTTTTTAGCGCTTGGCCACGAGTATTGCATTTATTCCTGATGATTGTGGTGACATTTACAGAGTAAGATAGGTCTGTTTATTCATAGTCTGCTAAATGATTTTATACTTTTACAATAATTTTTCAGTTACATTGAATGTTCTGTGTCTATTCAGATTTTTTTGCATTTGTAGAGTTTTATTATGATCTTAATAATGCAGATACTTAAGCATTTTCTGTAATATAATATTTTCTAACATAAAGCCTATATTCCCTTTCTAGGATAAAATACACTTTTATACCTTTATAGTCCTATTCAGATTTTCCTTTAAAATTTTCTTAGTTCTCCTCTCCTCACTTACTCAATTGTGTATTTGTAGGCTTGACTAATTCATGTTAATTTTAAAATATATTAGCTTAGAATTATTTACGCTTAATTTAAAAAATTTCTATGCCTACAAAAAATGATCTAGAAAAATTGTTTTCAATTTATCATTAATTTACAGTTTTATGGAATTTGAGTTTAGTTTTAATCTAAGTGTCAATCACCAGTTCCACAATAAACTTTTGAAAAATGATCTCATACGTGGGATATAAAGAAACATAGTAAGGGAACCGCAAATGCCAGAGTCATTAGAACTGGAGATTTTGCCTATGGAACTGAGCTTACTTGGGAGGGGGAGGGAGGGGAGGTCATCTGGGACACTGAGGGAGGGAAACAACTCTTTAGAGATGGCTATGCGGTTAGAATGATGTTTGCATTAAAAGTATAATGAACAGTATTGTAAATTTAATAAAAATGCTAAAACCCCAAAATTTATGTTGTCTACATCGTTCTCCAGTTACACTGTATCTGATTTTAGACTTTTCCCACTACATGTATTTCTCCCAAGCTTTTAGCTTCAGATCACTTTCATTCACTGTTCATTCTGTTTCTCCTTTCTTGACCCTCTCTGTGTTCTCCCAACCCACTAATCCTTGGAACACTACCCAGTTGGGGACCGCTCTTTCACTTGGATAATTCCATTTAAGCAGAACTCCTCCTTCCTCTGATACACTTCCTCCTTTCTAAAGGGTTGACAAACAGCCATCCCTATTTGAGTCTTTAACTCGGGTTTAGGATGGTGATATAATATGTAACAAGTGGGTTATGAAACAAAGCTGATGATTTCCAATTCTGCCTCCACATTGTACAATTTCTGAGGACACCACCGCCGGGGACTGAATGCCATTTTTTGTGTCAACTGAAGTATCGTTCTTCCTAATTTATCTCTGGACTTAGCATACA